GTTTACCATTTTTCCCCCTTCTTGCAATATGTTTCTGGCTGTAGAATGAGGCACTGATGGAGAACTTCTTGAGAGACTTCCTGAATGTACAGAGTCATAAGGAGGAGGTCTTTTGAGACTTAAGGGGGTTAGTGACCGACCCATACTCACAGGAGAGGGAGAGGCAGAGTGGCTTTTAGGATAGCCATGTGGAGACTGTGTTCTGTATAAGGTAGAAGGATGAGGAGGTGAAGAGGAGTGCCCTGGAGTACTAGTTCCATGAGATATTGACTGGTCTTTCTCCAGTTTTTGATGACTTAGAGTATGAGGTGGCAGTGAAGATGGAGAAGCTCCAGCTTGCTGTTTGATATAAGACACATTTTCTAACACAGGAAGCTTGGTGACTTCCAGAGGTGTTAGAGGAGATTCATCAGAATTTGGGGAGCATTGCACTGGTGCAGGTGGAAAAACCAGGAGTGGAGGTCTATGAGAAAGCAAATTTGGAAATGGCGGGGGGATATCACAAAGCACACCCTTGGGAGTGGATGGCACTGAGGACTTGGAGAATTCAAGGTCAGGCACTGTGGGAGTAGCACACTGAGAAGAACAGCTGTGATGGTCATACTCACATGGACATTTCGAATCTTGGCCTCCATCATCAAAGATGGGGTACTTCATTTCCTCATATACTGCCTCACTTTGGTCCTCCTCATCTTTTTTGAAATCTTTTAATATATTCCCAACCATTTCGATATAAACAGGTTCTTCTTCCTCTGTGTCTGGAGCAGGACTGCTGACCTGTGACAAGGAGGCATCCCGACTTAGAGCTGATTTGGGGGGGCCATGCTTTTTGATGTACGTCTCATCAAAAGATGCACTTAGCTGAGTGTTTGGATTCCGTTTCGGCTTGGGGGGTGGAATCTTCTTTGTGTATTCATCACTGTGAGGCCTTGGTTTGGATGACACTGTAAGGAAAGCAAAACATATATTTAAGGAATACATCTATGAAAATATTGCACAGTTCTGAAACACATCGCAATTTGGCTATTCAGATAACATATTTAGAGTGAATTCACCTCAGTGTTTTTCCGCATCCTTTAACAGAAAGTGTAGCTCTAAAAATATACTGTTCAGACAACATCGATGAAGTACGCTGGCATGTCAGCAGTGATATTTAGACTCCAATCTTTGAAAATCATTTCGTGGCTCAGTGGCAGAACACACACACACATGCACACAGACCTAGGTCTGATACTGGCATCTACAGTTAAAGGATCTCAAGTGCGAGCTGGTGTTGGCAAAGACTTTCTCTGCCTCAGACTCTACAGAGTTACAGTGGTCTGACAGTATAAAGCATCATTATAACATCTTACATTTTTAACTAATGCATTCAGCTTGAGATATCACACTGAAGGTCAGATGATAAACTTCAAAATAATTCGGATGGACTGAGAGATCTAATCCCTTCATATATTTAAAGAAAGCTCAACAACCCCTAGGAGTTCAGACTTTCTGAAAGTTTAAACCTAGGAACAATATGACGGACTGTCCTGGAAGTTAAGAATTAAAATATCGCATGGTAACTATTTGGATAGAAAGGTCAAGGATTTCAAATACATTATCCTCCACAGATTAACCCAGCAAGCTGTATATAGACATTTCTTATAGTTGCCTTAACTTAAAAAATAAATAAATCTGATAATATGAGGGATGACCTAACGATCATCAGCCCACACATTTATGTAAAAATGCACAAGATTATTGGGCCTCATTTCTGTTCTGTGGGATAAGAATAACCTGATCTTAAAACCCCTAGCACTTTGCTCAAGAGTTCCATGGCATTAAAACTCCTAGAGCAGGCATGGGGATTTCTTTAAAGGCTGCCCATAGCTTAAGAAAGAGAACAACTATATTTCTGAACATACTGAACATCTTGTTCTCCCCTTTTCTCCTGTTTTCAGAAAGGATGATCTGGATGTGGATGGGTGAGGAAGGGGGAGGATGGTTTCATACATATCTGGGGCACTTCCAAGATAAGTAGAAAAACCGTGAGTCTACCTGAAACCCAGATGCTGTGCATACATACTGTTCTCATGGTGCAACTGAACACAGATAGCAAAGATATCGTGTAAACCCGCAGGATTCTGTGGAAGAGAAACAAGTAGCCCAACGCTTCCTTTCTGCTGGCTTCTCAAAGGTCATGGATGTACTTATTTAGAACATTTATATACCATCTTCCTCTTCAGAGGTGAGGGGAAATTATGTTGGCTGAGAAGCAGTCAGGTAAGAAGTGTCACTTTGTGATTCTTCTAGAACGCTTGGAAGAGCATATGAAGGTGCCTTATACCAAGTCTGGGAAGTAACCCATCTGGTCCCATACTGTCAGCTCACTTGTAGCAGCTCTCTAGCATGCTCTCTTCCCTGAATCTGCTATCTGCTAACTTTAACAAGAGATGCCAAGGACTGGACCCACACCCTTCTGCCAGCAAAGCTCGTGCCTGCTCCCAAAGAAAAAGATCCCAGATGTATCTGTTCCCTTAGCCAGTGGCACAGCAAGGAATTTGTTGGTGGGAGGGCACCGAGGGGGTGACATCACTTATGATGTCACTTATGGGCAAGCTTCTGAAGAGGACTTGGCTCTTGGCCCCCTCTTTTAAATACCACTGAAGCCATGAGTGGCGAGCCTGCCTGACCACAGCTAGTATATGAGGAAGAGCCTCTTCCTTGTCTACTTCTGTGGGCAAGCCATGGCTTGAGCAGTGTTTAAATGGGGGAGCACCCCCATTTAAATGCTGCTCAAGCGGCGAGCGATGAGCCCACCCACAGCCAGTAGATGAGGGAGAGGCTGTTCCTCATCTACTGGCTGCCAGCAGGCTTCCTCGCCACTTCCAGACTGAGCTACTTGGATGGGGCAGAGCTCCCCAATGAGGGGGTGTGGCCCCGAAATGCCCCGCCATAGCTACATGCCGGCCTTGAGTCCTCTTGCCCAGGGGCTCCATGGAGCTGCTGGGTAAAGAGTTTGCCAGCCAGCCACATCTTTTCAAATTGTGAATTGGTCATTTCAGGACATATTCAGTCAGAAGCAACATAGTCCAACTAGACTTGCTGTAGAACAATTTATTACAGCTTGGGATGAGCATTGGATGCAGACTACTGCATATGCAATTGGACATTTCTAGCTGCAGTGCAAGTGAGACAGATCATACTCAAACATACAAACCACAGATGCTCAAACAGATGAACCCCAAGTCTATCTGATAATGGAAGTAAATGTATATGTTATAGAATCATAGGATCATAGAGCTGAAAGGGGTCATACAGGCCATCTAGTTCAATCCCCTGCTCAAAGCAGATCAACCTAGACCAGCTGCTGCTTGAAGAATCCCAGTGAAGGGGAGCACACAACTTCCTTAGGCAGCCAATTCAACTGCTGAACTACTCTAACTGTAAAAAAAATAAAAAATCCTAATATCCAGCCAGTATCTTTCTGCCCGTAATTTAAACCCATCATTTTGAGTCTTATCTTCTGCTGCCAACAGGAACAGTTCCCTGCCCTCCTCTAAGTGACAGCCTTTCAAATTATTAAAGAGAGCAATCACGTTCTCCCTCAAACTTCTCCAGACTGAGCATTTGCAAAATCCCTCAGCCTTTCCTTGTAGGGCTTGGTCTCCAGACCTTGATCATCCACATCACTCTCTTTTGCACCCACTTCATTCTGTCAATTTCTTTTTCAAAGTGAGGCCTCCAGAACTGCACACAGTACTCCAGGTGTAGCCTGACCAATGTGGTGTAGAGTGGTAGGACTTCCAAGAGCCACCATGGGCCTCTGGACCAATATTTCATCTGCCCCCCCCCCCCGTATGACCCTGATCCAAACAAAAAAATTTTAACAAAAGGAAGACATCACTTGGCTTGTTGTTAGGGTTGCCAAATACCTTATGTTCTGTGGCAGGGGGCTCCCAGACGGTGTCTTGAGCGCGCACGCAAAGCGTGTGCATGCCGCTTGCACATAAGCCGGATGTGACGTGCTAACGCCGGGCATGCTGGGGGCGAGGCCACAGCCATCTGAGGGGAAAACTCTATCTGCTAACTCTATGTTTTCCCCTCAAATGGCTGTGGCCCCGGCCCCAGCGTGCCTGGCATCAGCACGTCACATCCAGCTGACGTGCACGCTGGGGTGGGATTTCCCCCGGGGCCCGATTCTGCGGTGGCAGAAATCGGGCCTCCAAAGTGGGGGGAAATCCGCCCCCCGGGGGGGATTGGCAGCCCTACTTGTTGTTACCATGAATATATAATAATAAAAGAGTTAGCTTCTCTGTCCATTTTTATCTATTTATTTACTTTATCTATATCTGACCTTTCTCCCCATGGGCACCCAAAGTGACTTACATCATTCACCTCTCCTCCATTTTATCCTCAAAAAACCCTGTGATGAGGTAGGTTAGGCTGAGAGTGTGCGACTGGCCCAAGGTCACCCAGCAAGCTTCCATGGCATGAGTGGGGATTTGAGCTTGGATTTCCCAGATCCTAGTCTAACATTTTAACCACTACACCACACTGGCAGGCATAACTCATCAGAGAATAAAGCCAGGAGACTCAAAATTGGCCACCAGCTTCAGGATGATTGTGAGAGTTCCATGGCCAAAATCGAAAGGCATGGGAAAATCCTAGCCCAGGTGAGACAAACCACCACCACACCGCGCTATTTGGAACTTTAGCTAAGGGTCTCTGTGGCAGGCATGACTCAGAAAATAATGCGACATTTTTTAAAACTTGTCATTAGCCCAAGAATGATGATGGAATTTACAGTGCCAAAAATGAAGGGAACTGGAACACCTTGAACCAGGTTATCTTCACAACAGACAACATGTAATAAGCAGGGGTCTTGTTGTAGAAAAAGAGCTGCCGGAGCTCATTAGCATAACTCATTAGCATAACTTATTTGCATATGCCACGCCCCCTGACATCACCGGAAGTGACAGAAGGCCACACCCCCTGACATCACCGGAAGTGTGTCAGAAGGCCCGGCTACTTACCCTCCTGCTTCATCCTCATTCCCAAACGGAATGAGGATCGAAGCAGAGGGCGGGGTAAAGAAGGGGCGGGGCTTCACCACGTGACCGCCCCACCCCCTAGAGGTTCTCTTCCGGAGCTCCATACCTGAGAGCTCCCCCCCGACTAGAGCCCTGAAGATAAATGAAATGAAGGGATCACTGCAAAAGCATCTTTATATGTTTGTGCATACCAACAGTATTACAGGGATCAGATGTGGAAGAAAAATCATACAGTCAAAATGGAAGCCGATGAAAATCATGCAAAACAATGCCAACGGGGGGGGGGGGACCAA